TCTTAAAACTGTATGTATGCAATACATGACATTTGTTCCTTTTATATAGATATAATTAAAAAGCCACAGACACACAAATAGAATGGGAGCAAATTTTCTTGCCTCTCTCTTCCTCTTTACATAGAGAAAAAGATAAACATATTAATTGGGTAAAAATAGTTCTTCCATGTAAAATCATTTTAGCTATGCCTATTGTTAAAGGAAAAATAATTAAAACTCATTAGAAAATTTGGTATGTAAATAAAGCTCATCCAGTGAAATAATGAAATTCAAAGACACTTGTGTGGCACTGGTGTGAGTGTGTGTGTGTGTGCGCTGGTGTAAGTGAGTGAGGAGAATGGAGAGGGGAGAGGGGAGAAGAGGGGATGGGAGGGAAAAGAAAAGAGGAGAGGAGAGGTTAGGAGAGGAAAGGAGAGAGAGAGAGAGAGAGAGAGAGAAAGCGAAAGAGAGAACACTAAATACATTTAACTTAAGGGAAAGACAACAAAAACTCAAAACGTTATATCATAAAGAATATGTGGAAATCTTTCATGTTCTACAGGCTAGTTTTCTCAATTACTATTTTAAACTTTTCCTAAACTATATTTGCATATAATTTAATAAACATGCCATAGCCAAATACACTATTCTTATTGTTAACATATCTTCACCTTTCACAGAAAAGGAGAATTCAAAAGAACATGCTAGGGACCAGTGCTGTGGCATAGCAGGTAAAGCTGTTGCCTGCAGTGCCAGCAGCCCATATGGGCACCGGTTCATGTCCTAGCTGCTCCACTTCCAACCCAGTTTTCTGCTATGGCCTGGGAAAGCAGTGGAAGATGGCCCAAGTCCTTGGGCCCCTGCACCCAAGTGGGAGAACTGAAAGAAGCTCCTGGCTCCTAGCTTTGGATCCGCCCAGCTTCAGCCCTTGTGGCCATCTGGGGAGTGAACCAGTGGATGGAAGACCTCTCTTTCTCAATCTCTCTCTCTGCCTCTGCCTCTCTGCAACTCTGCCTTTCAAATAGATAAAAAAATCTTTAAAAAAACATGCTAGGTTTCTCCTTTCTTATTTTGAAAGATTTCTTTCTTTGAAAGGCAGTACAACAACCTGTGAGGGAGAGATAGATATTCCATCTATTGGGCCACTTCCCAAATGGCTGCAAGAGCTAAGGATGAACCAGGCCAAAGCCAGGAACCAGGAACAACATCCAGGTTTCCCGCATGGGTGGCAGTAGCCCAAGTACTTGAGCCTCCTCCCTTGCTTTAACAGGCACGATAGTGGGGAGCTGGATCAGACCTGGAGTAGCCTAGACTCAAACCAGCATTCCAAAATGGGATGCTGTGCATGTAAGTGGTGGTTTAAATTGCTACACCACAACACTGGCTCCTAGATTTCTACTTGCTGACTCTGAGATGTATACTAAATTAAAGGGCAAAAACAGGGGCTGTCATTGTGGTTGAATCACTGGTTGAGATGTGAGCATCCCATATGAGAGTGCCAGTTTGAAATCCAGTTGCTCTGCTTTGGATCCAGCTCCCTGCATGTTCACCTGGGAGGTAGCAGCTGATGGCCTGAGTACTTGGGTCTCTGCTTTCCATGTGCGAGACCCTAGTGGAGTCACTAGCTTCTACCTGGCCACGCCCTGGCTGTTGTGGCTATTTGGGGAATGAACCAGTGGATGGAAGACTGATCTGTCACTCTTATATGTGCTGCCTTATAAATAAATAAATAATAAATAAATAGTACCTTCCCATTATCTTTCTTCCTATGCATTTCCTCACTAAAGCAATAATGTTCCTATTTAACATACAACACCTCTGGAGCCACCACTGATTTTAGCAGAATTTCTACTCTTCCTCTTGAAAACAGTGAAATAGTGAAATTAATATTGTAATTGGGAAATTAACCTTGAATAAAATCCAAGTCTTATTTTATATTGGAAATATATTTCAATTCTATTAAAATATTAATCTATAAGTATTTTTTGAAATAATATTGAGTTCTGATATTTTTAATGATCACTAAATTTGTTCATGTTTTACTAAGAAAAATTTTAAGTATCAAAAATAAATACACATCAGACATGCTCTTCACCAATTAAGTCACCTCTTGGGATGCGCACATTCCATGTGGAGAGAACCTTGCTTCTGATTCAGTTTCCTGCTAATGAGCACCCCGGGAGGCAGCAGATGATGCCTCAACTACTTGGGTTCCTTTCATCCATGTGGCAGGTCCATTTTGAGTTCTGAGCTCTTGGTTTGGGACTAGCCCGACCCTTGCTGTGGGCATCTGGAGAATCAGCCAGAGCACAGACGATCTTCCTCTCTCTGTCTCACTCCCTTTCAAATAAATATTTTTAAAAACATAGGAGCAGGCATTTGGTGCATCTGTTAAGGTGCTGCTTGGAATGCCTGCATCCCATATTGGAGTACATGGATTAGAGTCACTTCTCAACCAGAGTTTATGCTGCCCACATGGGATACTGAGATTGAGTTCTGGGCTCCTAGCTTTGGCCTGGCCCAGTGTCAGCTGTTGCTGACATTTAGGGAGTGGACTAGTGGATGAAAGGTCGGTCTGTCTCTATCTCTCTGCTTTTAAAATAAATAAAAATATATTAAAAATATAGAATGGAAAAAGAAATCATGACATATCATTATCTACTGATCTAATAATGTCAATAATTTGCTAAATTTGTTTTATCTATATTTCTGTGTCTGTGTTTATTGTTTTGTCCTTTAAAGAAAATTTCAGAATCTATATGTTCCATTCCTTCATACTTTGGTAGGTATCTCCAAAAAGCATAAATTTGGTGACTATCAAATTTTCATCTAGCTTGAGGTATTACTAAAAAGAAATGTAAATTAAAGGTATCTATTTTTCAATCATGCTATGAACATGCAGTCACTTTAGGAGTTATTTCATATTTACAGAAGATAAAATATTGAGAATCCTCATAAATTTTTAATGTTTTTAAATTTATTTATATTTGAAAGAAAGAGTGCCACACAGGGAGAGGTGGAGAGACAGAAACAGAGACAGATAACTTTTATCCAATAGTTCACTCCTCAAATGCCTGTAATATCCAAAGCTGGGTCAGGTGGAAACCAGGAGCCTGTAACTCAATCAAGGTGTCTCACGTGGATGGCATGAACCCAAGTACATACGGCCTTACCTGCTGCTTCCCAGGGTACACACAGGCAGGATGCTGCACTGGAAGCAGAGGTGGGACTTGAAGTCAGGCAACACGTTAGGAAATGTACCATCCCAAGCAGTAGCTTAACCATCATACCACAATACCTGCCCCTGAAAATTCTCAATAGTCCCTCTCCATTCAAATATACTTGCCTCCTATTTTTCTATTCTATTTTTCATTGGCAATCTTAGTTCAGTTGCAGGTAAAATCATAAACATTTCATCATGAAAAAGGATAATGGTAAGCGTGTTGAAGTCACATTTGCTCCTCAATAACATTTAAATATTTCTTATAGGTCCATAGTTCATTTAAATGATGAAATAAAGAAAATAATCTTACATCTAGATGTGTAAGTCGCTCACCTGAAAGTGAACTGAGCCTGCTTCAGTCCTCAAATACGCTAAAATATTTACTACTATAGTTTTAATGACCTGTGATTATTTTGAATTTGCTGTATATGAATGAAACTGTCATATTTCCATTTGATTATTACTTATAGCCCTTGCCTATATTTCTGCTAAGCTAGGATCTTCTTGGTTTTCACTGTTGAACTATTTATTTAATGAAGCATTAAGCCCTTGACTCTAATATAAAGTTATATTATCTCAAAATTAAAGGAGAGGGGCTGGTGTATGGCATAGAGGGTAAAGTTGCTGCCAGCAGTGCTGCCATCCCATATGGGTGCTGGTTCAAGTCCTGGCTACTCCACTACTGATCCAGCTCTCTGCTATGGCCTGGGAAAGCAGTAGAAGATACCCAAGACCTTGGGTCATGCACCCACGTGGGAAACCTGGAGGAAGCTCCTGGCTCCTCGCTTCAGACTGGTACAACTGCAGCCATTGTGGCCATCTGGGGAGTGAACCAGCAGAGAGATCTCTCTCCCTCCCTCTTTCTCTGCCTATGCCTCTCTGTAGCTCTGCCTTTTAAATAAAAGTAAAGGAGGGTCTGGTGCCATGGCTCATTAGGTTAATCCTCCGCCTGCGGCGACGGCATCCTATATGGGCACCTGGTTCTAGTCCCGGTTGCTCCGCTTCCGGTCCAGCTCTCTGCTGTGGCCAGGGAAGGCAGTGGAGGATGGCCTGGGTGCTTGGGCGCCTGCACCTGCATGGGAGACCAGGAGGAGGCACCTGGCTCCTGGCTTTGGATTGGCATAGCTCCGGCCATGGCGGACATCTGGGGGTTGAACCAACGGAGGGAAGACCTTTCTCTCTGTCTCTCTCTCACTGTCTAATTCTGTCAAATAAATAAAATAAAATAAAATAAAATAAAATAAAATAAAAGTAAAGGAGAGAGGATAGGATATGGATAGGGAGGTGGGTGTGAGAGAGAGAGTAGGAGAGGGAGGTAGGAAGAAAGGGAGTATCATTATATTCTTAGAATTTTTTCTATGAACTATATTGAAACTGTTAAAAACTAAAAAAAAATTAAAATAAAAATTTTAAGTTCCAGTATGTAATTTTAGTGTTTAATGCAATTTGTATATATTGGCAGTCAACTAAGTATATTGAAATATCATTTAAACATGTGATCAGTTCAACTGATATTATCTGTCACTTAAATTTAAATAATATTAATAGCAATTATATTAATTTCATATAAAATAAGGAATTTATATAGCCACTGATATAAGCACTAAATTTCTATGCCAATGTATCAGTATACTAAATTAGTATTTTAATTCTAAGAGCCATATTTTGACTTTATTCAAGCACACGTTATACTTAATTTTTCAAATATGTACTTTAGGATTTATTGAGGATTAAAAAATTATGTATAATTTTCTGTCTTATCTTTTAAGCTTTATATTTATCTCTTGGTAAATCATACCTTGAAAGTAACCAACTCTTCTGGGCCTTGCCTTCTTTGGTGACTTTGTAACAGAAACTTTATTTTCATTGCTTTTGAATAATGTTAGACGCACAGTGGGATCTAGACAAAAAGAGAACAATAACAGGAAAGTTCAGCTTTGGTCATTCCTTCTCTGAAATGACCATAATATTTCCTTTATGGTGGTATTTAAAGTAATATCTACTCTAAAAGCTCTATAAAATTGATGATCATGTTATTCTGAACTTTATGTTCAGTTATCTGATTAAACATATAGCCAATGCTCAATTTGCATAACTGTTTAAGTAAAAGTTATAGTTAAAGGGAAAACTATACACAGTTTTTATCTCTAAAGTGTGGAGACATTGATATATTACAAGCAAAGAGCTGTGGGATAAAGAACAGATAGAAAAAGATTTTATTAGTATAACATAAAATATATTGAGTTATCTTTCATTAAAATATATTGGTTTTTATAACAAAGACAAAATTTTCTATATTTTAAAGGTAAAATATAAAAATATAAAATTTTTAATTGATTTTTTACATAAATAAAACAGATTTCATGTATTTCATGTATATAATTTTAAGAACATAGTGACGATTTTATAAAACAAATAGGATGATGGCTAATGTAGAGCTCCATAATTTTTATTGGTAATGAATGGCTTCATGAAATGTGAAAACAGGGATTTGGTATTGATGTATTAAGACAAAGAAAAAAGAGACTATACTTACAGAAAAACAATGAGAAAAGAAGATAGTGATGGAAGTACTGGAAGTCAAATAAAGAGTAGAAAGTTATATATGTAGAGTAACCACAATTCTAGGTGGCATACATTTTCTAAGTATCTTATATCAGATTGCAAAAGTAAGGGAATTTAAGAATCTTTTATTAATATCTAGTATAATAGAAATGAATATGCAGAATGCAAAAATGAAAGTTAAATGGGTATAAATATAAGATTACATATTTAGATTAAATCCTACACTTGCATGATTTTACACTGTGAATTAGAGAAGCACAATAAACTATATTTACAGTTATTCTCTAGCATGAAGGACCTGATGATTTCCATTAGCCTCCTCATAATAATTTATCATTACTATGTTATGATTTACATGTTCCCCAGAGATATTTCTCAAGGTTTCAGAAAACAATGGTTAATATTTGGGTACATCCTATAAGCATTTGTGATATAAGGTGTTTTAATTATTAGATGTTTCTAGATGAATTCAGTATGGATTATCAATAATGCCACAACATTTGTGTATGTTAATTTCAGTTTTTATCTATTATCCGAGTTATTTACAAGACAATATTGCTCTGTCAGAAGAAGTGTTACCTAATCAGGGCAGACAGGTTATCACAGGCTTACAAACTCCATGGCAGCTGATAACCTGCTGGCGTGCCTTACAACAGTCTTGCTATGTTCCTGTTCTTCTTACCTTTCTATTTATCTACATTTTTCTGAGCAACGACATTACAATTCAACAGACCTAGGAAAGATCCCAGTTCTAACTTTTACTAGCTGTGTGACTCTGGACAAACTGGTTGTACCCTTTGCCTTCACCTCTGACCAACAGAAATAACATTGACTTTGAAGTTTTACTGTGAGAATTAAAAAGATCATGGGTAAAGTATTAAGCCCACGTCAACAGTAAATAGAGGTGCTCAATAATTTATGACAGCTAACGGGCATATAATTACAAGTTAAAGGATGAGAGTATTTCTGACCTATAATATTCACATAGAAAACCTTAAATCCTACAAAAAATAAGCTGAGATACGTAAGAAACATAGATCCACAGTTGGCTCCATTTTATGCAATGAAGCACACTAAATAAAAACTATGGATTTTGTTTTAAGTTCTCTGGCATTTCTTTCCACAAATAATAATCTCTCCTTGACTTGGTTTCTTATCATGTAAAGTAAGTATAACAATTGTACTTTCCTCATAACTATCATTGAAGTCAAACAATACATTCAAACTATTTATAAGAAGTGTCCAGATCAATTTACTTAAAATAATTTTATTTCACAAGCCCCCAGAATGAATAGTAAATTTCAATATCCTTTTAGCTAAAAACATTCTGATTACATCATTTTAAACTGATTAAGACATAAATTAATTGAAATTGCAAAGGCATAAGATAAGAAACAGAAATTTTAGATGAGAGAAAAAAAATAATCACTTGATTTGACAGTTCCTGGAAACACCACTGTTTTGCCCCCTCAAAAATACACAATCCAGTAAGAAAGCCAGGAGATAAGGATTTTTAAGTACAGGTTGTATTACCTTTAGAGCACTACAGAGTCAGTTTTGTACTCTTAAGTTTACTCTGTGATCAATAGCAAGTCTAAATTGAGTATAAAAATGCTTAAAAAATCAAGGCAGTGGCTATTAAACGCAGCTTTGAAAAATACTTCACGTAACCCATAGATAAGTAAAGCAAGTTCCTATTATGCATGTGGCTCTATTATACTTCATGTTTTATACCCATGATTTCATTTTAGTAACATAATTTTAGATAAGCATAAGAATATCCATGAAATTATTTCATCCATTAATAATCCTGTTTAGTTCCTATAATTTTAATTTAAGCCTACTGTATATTTTATCATTATTTTTACATAAAATCTGGTTATTACTGCTCATTTTCTGTAGTTGACAAGTACAGTAGTGCTGTAAAAGAAATGTCATTTTAGTGTTTAATGGTGACCTAATTTTCATCATCTTATGAGGAGTACCATTTATTAATTTAAAATTTTCCTCCCCAAACACATATTTAAATCACTAAAATAAACACACATAGTCACACTACATACATTGTCAAATGGATATTAGTTAATTTATTATAATATATTGTGGAGTCAGTTAATAGCTATTTATTAAATATCTACCAGGTACGAGGCATGATAACAGGTTCCTCAAATTCAGTGTGGGAACAAGTAGACTCAGCCCTCAAGTATTAATTACTTAATGGATTTTATTACTGGTTTGCTGAAAGCGTAGAAATAACATTTGATAAAATGTTGTTGTGAATGTAAATAAAATAATAAAATAAATAATAAATTGATAAAATATTCTTGTGAATTCTTTTTGGAAATAAGCAAGGTAAACAACATACATCTTGAATAAACTCCAGTTTGCTAGAGTTTTGTTAATACAGTTCCCATGGATTCTTCCCTTTTAATATTCATTAAATGTATTACCATTTTACAAGCTGATTGCTTTGCTATTGCTCATGAACTGCTTAATGTATATACACAGTTAGCTTATCTTAACTTTTCTACCTGGGTTAATTATTGCTGTGATTAAATATGACCAAGATAGTCTCAAGCTATTTTCCTCATGGAAATAAAATCAGCAAACATATACTGAATAATCTGAATGTGTTTGACACTATGTTAGGTGTCAAAATCAGCTGCAAGATGATTCTTATTTCCACTTGTGGTTCTACCCTCACAATTAAATTAACCTTGTTTGCTTCATCTTAACTCTTTTAACTATGAATTCTAAATTTTATATGCACAGGTGTGATAAACATATAAAAACTGTAAATAAAATATACAAAATATAAAAATCTCGACATCCTGGCCTCATCCTCTCTGGTGAGTGCTTCACATCACCCCCCCCACACACACACACACCCACTCCCTTTCTCTATCCAGCTCATCTTAGTCTTGCTACCAATTCTGCTCACTATGCTTAGGTCATTGACCCTGCATGTTTTCAATAAACCTGTAATTCTCACCCTACATACGACGTTCTTCATTGCATCATCTTCAGGATTCTAAGCTTCCCTGGGTATCTACTAGATTCCAATGCAAGTCACCAAATTCTGAAATTACTTTGCTCCATGATGCAACAGCAAAAACAAGCAAACAAACAAAATCCACAAGACAAGACCAGTCATTACTAGTTGTAGCTTACATCAATCATGAGGGAAATAGCAATTACTGACTAGGAAAAACAACAACTCTAACCCAAACATAAACTGAGCAAATCATGATAACACCTCACAATTTTAGTTTTCATTCTGTGGTTTCCAATCAGTTCCTCGCTCCCTGGTCTTCTCCTCCTCCTCCTCCTGCCCTTTAAAACAGATGGACTTGCTTATACTAACAGAAGTCCTGAATACTGTCTCTCCTAATAGCTGCCCACACCACATGTTTGCTCAGTCCCTTGCTTCATTAATCAGCTTCCTCAACAGAATTTTCCTCTCTGTTATTTATTCCATTACACTCCACTTTCTTTTATTTCTCACCTTAAATAAAATATTGTGGACTCACATCCCTTGGTTAATGAAAAGATATATGACACACACCAGAAATATTACGTGCTCCCTATAGAGCAAATTGCCCTGAGATTTTTTTATAGAAGAAATTTGAATTAAAGTTCCTATTCACCATTTATTTGTTTATGCCCCGCTTTCTTGAAGATCACTGTTTTGTTAGACTGAAGGACATAACATCTTTCATTTAACAGTTACTGTTCTCTGAGTATCTTGCCTTTCTCCCTACACCCACTGAACAAGTCTCCCACCAGTTTTATGGACAATATTGCCCCCTAGTGGCTGGAAATTTTAAATTTTGCAAGTTGGGTAAGAAATTACCTCCATAGAGGACTTAGAGGGGCCTATAAAGCAATACAGGAAAACATGTATTATTAAAAAAAAAATGAATGGATTTCAATATTTTTGCACCAAAATGAATAAAATTGTATTTCCATTTCCAAAAAATATATTTTAATTACTGGAAATTTAAAATAAATTTAACCAAATTTAAATATTTAAAACATCGTGTTAATTAATGAATAAAAATTTAAAATAATAGTCATTATTTTGGATATAGTCAAGTAAATTGATAATATAACACAGACAAATTATTAAATTGTAAAGTACTGCAGAATCTAAGTCTTTTTTTAATTTTTATTTTTATTTTATTTTTTTGACAGGCAGAGTTACACAGTAAGAGAGAGAAACAGAGAGAAAGGTCTTCCTTCCATTGGTTTACCCCCCAAACGGCCGGCACGCTGCCCCCATCCGAAGCCAGGAGCCAGGTGTTTCTCCTGGTCTCCCATGCAGGTGCAGGGCCCAAGCACTTGGGCCATCCTCCACTGCCTTCCCAGGCCACAGCAGAGAGCTGGACTGGAAGGGGAGAAACCGGGATAGAACCGGCGCCCCAACCGGGACTAGAACCCAGAGTGCCAGCACCGCAGGCGGAGGATTAGCCTAGTGAGCCGCGGTGCTGGCTAGAATCTAAGTCTTAAATAATTTACTCATTGCAACAAAAATGATCTATAAGTAAGTGCTACATAATGAACCAAACAGAAGATAAATGAAACAGAATCATTGGAGAGGATCCCTCTGACTTTCTTTTTCATATTTGCCAACCTTAATAACTTCTTGAATGTTTCTAATATATTTATTTTCTGTGAAAAACAACAGAGGAAAAGAGCGAAGAGAATATAAACCTCATCTTTCGGGGCTGGAGTTGTGGAATAGCAGGTAAAGCCGCAGCCCGCCACACCAACACCGGCCTCCCACGTGGGCTCCGGAGTCTGGCTGCTTCACCTCCAATCCAGCACCCTGCTAATGGCTTAGGAAAGGCAACAGAAGATGGCCCAAGTGTTTGGGCGCTTGCCACACATGTAGGAGATTCAGCTGAAGCTCCTAGCTCCTGGCTTCAGATTGGCCGATGCAACCATCTAGGGAGTGAACCAGAAGATGGAAGATTCTCTCTCTCCCTCTCTCTCTGTCCATCTCTTTCTATTTCTAATTTTCAAAATAAATAATCTTTAAAAAATCATCAATAAATTTTGCATTTTAGCATTCAAATTTTAAAGAAAAATTGTTTCTTTTTTTAAATCTAGTATTATTTTGATGAAACAAAAGCATTAACAGAGACACAAAACCTTTCACAGTAGTAAAATGTAATTGGGTCCACAATCATATAATTGGAGTAACAATTTCCATAAAATTATACAATCGCCATTTCAGATTTTTAACTAACAGGTCATGCTTAACACTAACTCAAATGTTGGGTTAAATGTGCTGAAGTGGACAACTGGCTGTCCTTGTTCATTTGTTGCCCTACCGTGCCCCCTTGTGACTGATATAAAGAGGTTTAATTTAGGCCTAATTGTGTTTAATCGGTACCATTACAACAGTAATTTTAAAGTCTGAATATATATTCTTTATTATTCCTCTGGTAGAGTTATTAATACTGACTTCCTAAAAATGTACTCAACTTAAAAAAAACCCACCCTCAATTAGAAGAATTAAAAACAAAGATCTGTGTTTCCAGAGAGACAATCATATGGAAAATACAAGATAGTCTTTTCCTCATTAATAGAGGCTACTTCAGACAACTATCTCAGAAACAAAAAATTATTCTTGCAAAGCTTCTTGAACATAAATAGGAAAGAATTATTTTTAGATATTGGCTGAATGAATTCTTAAATAATGATATTTGAACTTGCCCAGCAGTTTCAGAAACTTTATTCTCAAAACAGCAAAGAATGTTTTCTGATACTCTTGAAGATGGGTAGAAACATACATCAAAGCAATAGAAGAGTTTATCAAACTAACTTGATTTGCTGTACTGGATTCCATATCCGCAGAACTGCAAGGAAGTCTCACTATTGTTAAGGGTTTGGAATTACTCATTGAGTGGGGTGACTACCACATAGCATTCAACTCACAAAGTCCTGATGACTTTAAAAGGAATTTACAAAATCAGAGGCAGAAGGAAAAGGCAGCTAGAACAACATAGTATTTATTTGTATTTATCTTTAAAATGATTAAAATTTCAGTATTTCAAAGCTTCCAATTTTTTTTAGCACACAACTAATAATAAGTTATCTCAAAAAGACACAGGGTAAAATGAATTTGTCATTAATAAATCACCAAGAAAGAACAGTTGGATATTTTTGAGGAGAAAAATGAGCCACCAGTCATTTATCAAATGGCTAGTGTGAGATGTACCAATAAATACCAGTTATTCCTTGGAAATCAACAGTATTGTGGCTATTTTTATTTATGATTTTTAAAATTAAAAATTACATACATATTTCTTATAACTTTGCTGAATTAATAATCTAAAATAAGTTTGTATTGAATAATGAATGGGCAGGACAAAATACATTTTTGAATGTTTCATATGTTTACATAAACTAGAAGAAGAGGGTTAGGATAGATTTCTTACTCATCTCAGGGGTAAAACTTTAATGGAAATAGTTCACTAACAATGAAATTTGCAGAAAAGAAACTAAAAGAGTTTTTTCATGAAGTAGTTGTTTACTTTGAGCTTCTGAGTCAATTGGTAAATATAGTAATAAGTTACCTATATTACTAAGCTAATATATTCAAATAGTTTTAATTAGAGATATAAAATCATAATACCATACTATTTTTCACTAATATATATAAGCTACTCCATATATTATGTAATTATATTAAAATATCGGAAGTGTCTAAAAAAAGACAAATGCTTTCAAGAGTAACTTGGGATAGAAGAAAAGATGGCCTTGAATATTTCCTGAGTTCAATAAGATCACAAAAGATATAAACTATATTTCTTTTCCAGGTTGTAAAGTCATGAAGTCTGCACAACTAAACTCCATGGACTAGTTTATTTATAAGTTGGATTAAATAATTGAGCAATTTAAAATCACATAAAACAAGAAGCACATGAAGTAGGTGTCCTTTAGAATCAACAATTTGCAAAATAAACCAGTTCAGAAACAAATTATAACATAATTCTTAGTACACAATAGATAGGTAATCAATAGCAAACTAGATAAGAGACAGAAAAAGTAAAAAAAAAAAAAAGAGTATAACAGGGCATTCAATGTAACAGCATGATTCTCTACAAATTTTCTTAAGTTTATTGTTTGAGTCATTACCATAGGCCTATTCATCTCTGCATTCACTTCTGTTCCTATTGAATGTAATTTGAAATAAATATTTTAAATGAATTTATCTTCAATATTATACAAATTATAATTCAAATAGCATTACTCACCTATTTTTTTCTTTAGTTTCTTTGACTTCATTTTCTGTGCCCTCTTCAACATTTGTTGAGCAGTAGCAATATTCTTAAAACCCCTATTAAAAGGCAAAAAATTACAGATAATATTTACATGTGTATATATACAAATAAACACATACATCTGCATTATCTCATTCTAAATACATTTGTGTTTCCAGCTAAGAAACTGCAATTTAATCAGATATACAGTTTCTCAAAAATTAATAGATATTTTTGAAATATGAAAAAATAGCTGGTTGGACATTTAACAATACCACAATTTCTCAGTTTTTTAGTACAAAATAGACCACATACCATTCTTCTGAAATTTTTTCTTCTTTCTCAGATTTTAGCAAACTCTTTCTACTAGTCTTTGATTCAGATGTCGTGGTTAAAGTTCTATTTTCTGATCTGGCAATAGAAAAAAATCCACTTTTAACTGAATTAACACAGGAATATAAGCACTTTTTAAAAACTACAAGCTGCTTATGCTGTCTCAAACTTGGGAATAAAATGCATTTAAGTTACACGAAAACTTTATCTTGAAAAGTAATAAAAGTCTGCCATTAATTTAAAATGTTTACATTTCAATTACTTGAAGCATATTTCAAGCCTTTTGTGGAAAGTAGTGCAGCACTGGGATTTTAATTCTAATCCTTATCTCTACCTATATAGTAGTATTTAAAGATCTATTTGCTTTCAACAATTAACGACCCTATTTCGCTGACACATAACTTTTGTAGTTGTTTTAATTCACCTACCTCACCTTATTTTACACTGAAGACCATTAAATCATGACAATATTTTTAATACTAAATGTTCCATCTTCTCAACAAGTAAGTTCACATCAATTTTTGCAATACTTTTTAAAGGAATGTAATATCCTTGTCATTCACAGATTGATCCTCTGAAAAAGCAATTAAAGATTACCTGCTGTTTAATCCTGGGTGTTCTGATGAAAACACATTTTCTTTTTCATTACAGAGCCATGCTTGAGCTGGATGACTTGGTAAGTTAAGGGAAGTATCATCATATTTTAAGGTTCCAGAGATCTTATCAAGAAAGAATGTAAGTAAATATAAAATAAATTGGAAAATTCTACCATTTATTGTATTACTTTTCATAGATATTAACAAGTTGCCTCCTAAGGAAAACTCATTATAAAATTTAAAAGGATGATAAAATAAAATTTATGGAATACACATAAATATTCTTTGTTGTAGTGGAGCAGAATTTGCTTTTTGGTATAGCTCCCATATACAAAATGATTAATTGCGAAGATCTTAAAAAATCTCAGAAAACAAAACTTCAAAGATTATCAAATAAATAACAGATATTGCAGTTCATTGACCTCTGACTGAGAATCTTCAGCTGTTGCCCTCTTAATGCATATTTTTGTATTTTTAAACTGCTGTCAACTAGTGATTTTAGTCGACTGCCAAATATGCAGCTGAAGTATATCAATTTTTTTTTTTGCTACTGTGAAATAAAGTGTTGAAAGAAATCCAAAATAAAGAAAAAAAAGGAGCAAATGAAAGAAAAGCTACATGAAAAATTACATCTGGGGATGAGGAGGAAGTCAGAGGCTTCTAAAAGTAATTATGTTTTTCAAGTCAATAAATTGTATTATTAATCACTGCAGCATAGCATAACCTTAAGAAACGGGCAAAGATCAAGCACTCAGAAGTTTCCATGACATGTTACCTTTGGCCGGTGCAGCTGGTTTGAAAGCAGTGGTGTTTGTGAAGGGAAGCGGGTGGAATCTAAAGCTAGCCATTCTTTCTCTAAGGAAGCCTGAACAAGTAACCACATTAAAAAGTTAAAAAGGTTAGTTTGCATAAACTTTGTAAAGTTTCTTTTACATTGTCTTATATACTATGAATGTTGACAAAGTATATTGCAATCTTAGTTTACAGGAAAGTTGCTACTTATTGTGAGATGGTATGTATCCACTTAATGAAAACATACAGAAAAAAAGGATAAGACTTCATCCCCAAGTTTCAAATAAAGTGAAAACTTGATATTCAGTATGCTAAAAATGAAGTTCATATTGTTCAGAGTATTTAATGGTAACTCTCATTCTTGAGAGAAATTTAAACACATCACTGTAAGAAATCAACTTTTTGTTCTTGACAATGCAAGTTATATTTTCTATCAAATATCACTATTAAAATTTTATTGTGATGCATTAGCCCTAACTTTCCTATAAATAATGTCTTAAACACTGTATTACCACTTTTTCAATTTTAATCAATTTTCTAAGTGGATGGAGAGGAGGATTTAGTGGCTATGAACACAATATAAGGAACATGGTTTCTAGTATTATATTCTCTAATTCAACTACTTAGAATGACAAAAATACAAACTGAAATTCCTAAATTCCCTCTCTCTTCATCTTAAAAAAATCTTCCATTTATGGAATTTCAAAATGTATTCTTTCTACAATAAAACTGTAGTAAATATATGCATGTAGTATAACTATCTGAATCTGATTTGAGTGGATTATCTAGCGTAGCTCAGGATAAACTTCTGTGTTTCAATGATGTGTTTTGAATCTTTTTGGGAAAAAAATGATCAGAATACCAGTCAAGTTTTCTTTTTGAGATTCACTTATTTTATTTGAAAGGCAGAGTTACAGAAAGAGAGAGGGAGACACACACATACACACACACACACACACACACACAGGAGGGAGGGAGAGAGGGAGGGAGGGCGGAAGGGAGAGGGAAAGGGAGAGGGAGAGGGAGAGGGAGAGGGAGAGGGAGAGGGAGAGGGAGAGGGAGAGGGAGAGACACCATTTACTGGTTCACTCCCCAAATGGCTGCAATGGCTGGGGTGGGGTATGGGTTGGGCCAGACCAAAGCCAGGGACTTCACCTCAGTCTCCAATATGGGTGGTAGGGGCTCAAGGGCATATCATGTCTCTGGCCTTCCCAGGAGTATTAGCATGGAGGTGGATCAGAAGCAGAACAGCTGGGACTTGACCAGTGCCCATATGGGACGCTGGTGTCACAGGCTGTGGCTTAACTACACCATGGCCCTGGATAAATTGTTTTTAAGATGGTTCTAAAATTATCAATCATATTTATTATTTGTAAGTTGAATTACTATATTTTAGAGACTTACATGCAATTTCCCACTTATACAATGTCAGTGTCTTTTGATAGCTTTTTGAAAGATTATTGGAAGGGCAGGACGAACTCATTGAGGGCAGGCAGGCAGGCAAGGCAATGGCAGCTTTTCCATATGACATTTAGTCTTAGGAAATATGGGCAAACTTGTGTGACTTGATTATGTAATTTAGCACCTAAATAGTTGTTAGGTAGAGATTATTTGGAAACAATTGTTACTTGTCAGGAGGAAAATATTCAAGAGGCTTACTGTGCAACATGATGACTATAGTTAATGACATTGTATTGTGTTCTGAAAGTCACTGGGACAGTCAGTTTCAAGCATCCTCACCACAAAAAAATGGTAACGTGTTAGGTAATGGTTTATGTTAATATGCTGAATTTAGCCATTCTGCAACAAATACATATTTCAAAATATTATGTATGTTGTATGCAATACACATATATAATTTTGTCAATTAAAATTATGCATTTCAGTATTCCTACATAAGGTGTTATTGAAAAGACAGAATGAGCAAGCACTCTCTTATCAGAACTGTTACTGTTTCTCCTTCTCATTTTCACAGAAAGAAAGAAAAAGGCTGAAAATGGTGGTTCCAAAACAATGGCTACGATTCAGGGCCATACTACAAATAAAACAAGAGACTATGTGTCAGATTTGCTTTGGCACCTTTGGGAAGGTATGGGAAAATAAACTACTGTAATTTCTTAGCAATATATTCGAGCTGCTTATGTTGATTGCTTGATAAATCAGGCCAAGAATTCAGTAAACTCCTACTAATTTTTACAACCAAAATTTTCTGATTAGCTTACGATGGGTGATAAATTTGATAAAAAAGAATTGCCATTTGATACAACATTGCAAGGACTGGATGCTGGCTTTGGATTTTTTAAAATTCTTTAAGTGATAAAGGAAAATATGATCTATCCCAAGAAAGATCAAGGGTGATGGTAATCAGCTATAATCAAATTGGTATTTTTATTCTCATGAAAACTGCTAAAATGAAGACAAGATGTGAAGATGTGAAGGAGATAATAGTATAAGAAGCAATGTACCACCTAACAAGTAGCTGTGGAAAAGGATCAGGATAAGAAGTCTGACTTCTACACTATTTTTTAAATGAACTTTTACTTTTAGTTAAACAGCTAACAAAGAACCTCTAGAAAGCTAGTTGTTTTGTCTCTGCAGCAGAGCAAGATTTCACAAACACGTGATCTCTTTTCCTTGTCATGCAGGTAAATAAAGGGTACTCTTCCTTGGACAGGCTCTATAAATTCTGGAGACATTTTTCATTTTTCAAATTGCTATATAAAAGTCAAAAAATTAAAAATATTTTTTCTTATTTTGAATATAAGATCAAAAATGTTCTGGGATTCCAACAAGCCTTTATAATCCAACAATCTCAGTAATTTTAGAAACATAAAGAAGAGGTTTAATATAAAATACTAATTATTTAAGAAATTATATAATTAAAACCAAAAATATTAACAAGACTAATGATTTATAAGAATTTTAATTATATAATTTTTAATTTTTTATAAAAGATTTATGTATTTACTTCAAAGGGACAGTAAAAGAGAGCGAGAGGGAGAGTGGGAGAGAGGGAGAGAGAGAGAGAGAGAGAGAGAGAGAGATCTTTCATCTGCTGGTTTACTCCCCAAATGGTTGCAGCCAGGAACTGGGAACTCCATGTGGCTCTCTTACATGTGTGGCAGGGACCCAAGCACTTAGGAGATCTTCTGCTGCCTCTCCTGATGCATTAGCAGGGAGCTGGATCAGAAGTGAAGCAGCTGAGATTCAAATTCTCTCTCAAAGGGATGCTGGCTTCACAGACAGTGGCTTATTCTGCTGCACCACAATCTGACCCTGAGTTCAAGTATTTAACATCAAGTGTATTTGGCATTATCTAATATTTTGAGGGAAATAAGACCTCAAATTTTCAGGAGGAATTGGCCAAGAAAGATAAACAGATGGTTTAAAACCTTATATTAAGATATCAATCTATTCAGTACACATTTACACAAATTATTCTGTTCACATTCAGTTAAGGGTCTGGGTAGCTCAATGGTTACTAAAGGACTCTTATCAAATGGGCTTAACTTTGATACCTTTGCAACTATATAATCTTAATTGAACAACTGATGACATATACATATATCATACATACATACCACCCCTATATATATTATATAATTTGGCTTTTGATCAGAGAAGAACTTGTTTTGTTGTAATCCAACTTTGAGAGAGTATAGCATAAGGCTATCAGAAACAGGAGCCACAAATAATAAGGATGATAATGTTTTTATATCTATAAGGAAATTTTCATGCCATCTAGAGAAATCCTGATGTATGACACTAGGACCAGACTTGCCGAGGACACAAGTCAGTTAATGTTGAATAGGTACTAGACATTTTTAAAGTAGTAACTTGGTCATTCCCCTTCTCCTTACTTCCTCTCCCACCTTGCCCCGAAATTTTTCTCCTCTGTCCAATTTGACACTTGCTGTATCAAAAATAATTATAATATTTAGTGATTCCCTTTATAGCATTTTACAATACTTAACGGTTCAAAAATGTATCCCATTATGAATTCCCAAATTTCACTTTTCTCAGTGTAGAAGCATACATGTTCATATTGTTGGAGATTGCTGTTATCTGTCATGTATGTCTCTTTCCATCATACCAAATATTTAACTTTTTCTTTAGTCTTGTCCTTTGCCTTTATTTTAGGTTTTGTTTTTCTATCTTCTAACTAAACATTGTAATACACACACATACACACATAACTTTGTGACTTTGATTTGACTAAACTCCAGAGCTGAAAGCAGCCTAATACATTTTACCTCTTTCATAAAAATTATTCCTATAAATTTATTGATTCTGCCCCTCACCTGAGACAAGAAACAATTAGAAATTTGACTCTTCTGGTATAATATTAGCTTTCTCCACCTCATTTGGGTTTAAGAACTCATAAAATATTGGCTGTTTAAAGAAAATTATACTGGTTCTTTACATGTTGACTTCTAAATTGTTTGAATGAAAGAGAAAATAAAATCAGTTAAACTAAGTCAACAAATAAAAACATCAGTGAAAATTCATTTTAAAAATTAGAAGGTAAAAAATCAAAGTGCGAATGTAGATAACCATACCATCTGAAACTACTCAAATAGGTTCTTTTGGATTCTTATTAAGTTACTGAAGGAGAGATAAACATCTAGATGGCTAAAACTATTTTTTAAAGTCTGTCAAGCACTATGGACTCATTATTCATCATTGCTTCTGAAGTTCATTATGACTAGGTACTTAATGGCAGGAGATAATTATTCATGAGCCTTTCATACCTGCATATCTGTGATGACTTTCATCTAGACTGTTGTTTCAGGGATGTTTGCATAGCTGACAGTATGCAAATATAGAGACAGTGTTTCCCATACTGGCACAGGACACTATCCTATCAAGACTCCTGGTTTATAGAGCCAAAGGTTTCAACTCAAGAGATATGACTATGGTTCACAGTGATGTAAGGTCCTAAATTTACCTTGTAAGTAAGGTCTTTTAGGCCAAGTCAATGTGCAATTACTGTTCTTCCATATCTGAATGTATAGTAGAAATTGATGGTGATAAGCTTTGCTGTTCCATCCTGTAGGTCCTAGAGGGGATTAT